CTAATTATTTTGGCAGAGAATGTTTTAGTTGGACCCAAACTATGTGAGACGCAGAGATGTGAGAAATTTGAGATGTTTGTACTCGCTCTGTCAAATTATGACCGTCTGTGGCCAGAGGTGCCGGCAGCGTGCTGCGAGCATTAGACTAACTCTGTGTAAACAAAGAAAATACCTGCACGTTAAGAGTCTGATCAGATGAAGCTGTTGGGATTTGTGGACTTGTGCTCTTTATTTTCCTCCTTCTGTTTTTACCATGTGGCTGAATGAAATGTGCATAGATCTATTTATATGTCAGAGTGGGATTATTGTGATTTTATGTCTCAAATTAACAGGATAAATGATTTTCCTGACTCTCACACTTTCACAGACTTGCTCAGTAGATCCTCTCAGTTTGTACGAGTCTATAAATCAGTCTGTTTCCAGCATTAAAGCGACACTAATACATTTTTGTGGTCTCTCTTACAGAAAGAGGACAAAGATGCCCAAGCACAGAAGACGAGAAGGACTCTGAGGCCCCCTACTATGTTGAAACTCCTTATGGTTATCAGTTAGACCTGGACTTCCTCAAGTATGTTGACGACATCGAGAGGGGCAACACTATTAAGAAGCTGAGTATCCAGAGGAAGCCCAAAGTGGCCAAACCCTCGGTGGTGCCTCGGGGCAGCACTGGCGGGGTCGGCGCTCAGGCTGAATGGACCTCCACAGACTCGCTGTCCTCCAACAGTGACGGCAAACAGTCCCCGGTCTTCTTCACCAACAGGGCTGCTGCCCCGCTGACCCCCACCCTCTCCAGGGCAGCCTGTGAGGTGCCTCTGCATCAGCCGTGTTCAAGCGTCGCAGAGCAGAAACAGCTCCTCCCCCCGCCGTCGCCCAGGTTTGCCCCTCGGCACAACCCCCAAGTGGAGAAGACCCTCATGGAGACCCGCCGTCGGCTGGAGCAGGAGCGTGCGCTTCTGCAGCCGCTAAGCGAGCCTCCGATGCCCCGCCGGCGTCTCGCCAGCTTCGGTGGTATGGGCTCCAGCAGCTCGCTGTCCTCCTACTCTGGCTCCATAGGCACAAGCCAGATCTCTCCCAACACCTATCAGACTCTGCCCATCAACGGTCATCTCCCTAATGGAGAGTATAACGCCTATTACCCACCATCCAGGGGCAGCTCCATCCGCCACAGCCCCATGAGCTCTGGCGTGGCTACCCCGGTAACTAACGTCAGTCCGTTGCACCTGCAGCAAATCCGGGAGCAGATGGTCGTGGCGCTCAAGAGGCTGAAAGAGCTGGAAGAGCAGGTGAAAACCATTCCCATCCTGCAGGTGAAGATTGCCGTTCTGCAGGAGGAGAAAAGACAGTTGGCTGCTCAATCAAAAGGTCAAGGTCTTGGCGGCTTCCGCAAACGTTCCTACAGTGTAGGCTGCGCTGACCAAATGGAAAACCCGGGCCCCATCCAAAAGGAAAC